AATACCTGACAAAAACCTCCAATATCTAAGGATTTGCATGCTGGAGGTAAGCGAGGTTGTCCATGACGGTGTGCTCGAAAGGATGGCAGCTGCTTTCCCGCAAGGACCTACTCCTGTGGGTGGGCGGTAATGCTTTTTTCATGGAAACTCACGGCACTGTTGTTGTATTGGTTTTCCTTCTGTATAGTTAGTTAGCTGCTGCTTTTGCAGCGACTGTTCATATTCCCTTTTTGATGCAGACTTGTAAGAAGGTTGTCAATATAAAATGGAAAACATATTTATCCCATTAATGCGAACATGGTTGAACCGCATATCTCCCGGGCCGGTTCCTGATATGTGCGTTCGGCAAGTATCAGTATTTCAACCCCAAAAGGGGCTGTTGCAGGCTGAGGAAGGGTGGGGGGGATCACTGACTAAGCCACGGACTTCCCCGCATTCCGCATCCCTCCCAAACGCGGAGGGGGCCAACACTGTAGAGTTTCAACCCCCTCACTCTCCTCCAATTCTCCGCGCTTCCTGTGTGTCTCCCCATCCACGGGTCCCGATGAAAGATGGACAGCTCACGAACAGCGGCCGACCGAGTGAGAAAGAAAAGCACGTCGGCATCCCGTAAATCTTTGACTTGCGAGTATTGTAGCCGTCCCTTTGCCCGGCTGGAGCATCTTCAAAGGCATCTCCGCACACGTTGAGTGACCCACAACCCATACCCCTTTCGGGGCTTGCATGCTGTATTCATATTCATCACCCTCAATGCCTGACCGATAATTGCAGACACGAAAGAAAAACCTTTTTCTTGTGATATCTGCTCCAAATCGTTCGCAAGAAGGTGAATCGATTTTCTTGATTTGAGGATCGCATCCTTTCAAGCCTTAACTAATAAATCGAGTTGCTGATAGTGACCTCCTTGTCCGCCATGAGCGCCTGGTACATCCGCTAGAGAGTAATTCAAGCCGCACTGAGAACCGAATAAAACCTTCCGTGGAGGTTTCATCAACCCCAGCCCCTATACTACCTCCTGCTCCAACCCATGATAATCCAGTATTGGAACTACCGGAACCCGTGGGCGTTCAAACCCCCTCTGTGCCTCGTCCAGATGTCTCCGTTCACCCCTCCCAGATAGCTGAGCCAACCCAATTCAACCCCTCATGGGGATATGACCTTAATCTTCTTTCCCATGCTGCCAGTCATGTTGCCCTCGAAGGGCAACAGGAAGCGGTCAGCCCCATCCGCAAACCCTCTGCTGTAGTTGTAGAGAAACCAATAGCTGAGAACTACGGCGTGGAACCGTCTATTTTAGACCTTGCGGACCTAGGGGACCCTGTTCAAGATTTTACAGTTTTTTTAGAAAGTGTAGGTCTATCCTCTGATTGGGACTCGGGTACGTTCTCGACGGTGGTTGAACAGGAGTCTATACTCCCTGGATCAATCCCCCCACCCGCTTTTGATACAAAACAGTCAATCAACCCTCCAAGGTACAATAACGGAGACCTGCTGAGTGATCAACGGACCTCCACGGATGAAGCTCCGTCTTTTTCAAATTTTGGATCCCGTTTACCTTCTCTCCAACCGGAATCCCGAGACCCAGAGGATCGTCTTGGAATTCCCGATGAAGCCGCGCAAACTAGACCAGCCTGGGATGTGTCAAATCAGGATAGGCAACTTTTTATTGCTAGGCTGGAAGATTTTGCAAATGTGCTGCCTAAGTCTTTTGTACCTCCATCCAGGCATGCTCTCTCTCGCTTTTTCGCGGGATACATTAATGGACTTAACGAGCATCTTCCCTTTATTCATGTTCCAACACTATCTGTGGCAAGGTGCCCTCCTGAGCTTAGCCTCGCATTGGCAGCTGCAGGGTCCCATTACAGATTCGAGAATAATCGTGGAATCGATCTTTTTTACGCCTCGAAGTCAATCCTTCTTGAACGAATTCGGCGCCGAGATGCGCGTCGAGTGCCACAAGTGCCATGGGGTTTTGGCGGGCCCAACCCTGGTTTACATGCTTCTCGAACTCCGTCTTCGATCTCGAATTCCGGTAACAGTCCATTCCAGCAACCATATCTTTCTGCTGTGGATAGCGACACCTACCCTGGGGAAGATTCTGATGCACAAATGGAAATTATTCGTACTTTTCTCCTTCTCACAGTGTTTGCCTCGTGGGAGAGGCATCCTGATTTGCTACGGGAGATACTTGCACTTCAAAGCACTCTTGCCAGACTGGTTCGGGACCATGGCTTAGTAGAGCCTGCCCCATCGGCAGAAAATATTAGCTGGGAAGACTGGGTTCACAAGGAAGCCGAGAGGCGAACGAAACTTATCGTGTATTGCTTTTTCAACCTCCACTCCATTATGTATAATATACCTCCTTTGATTCTTAATTCAGAACTGAAGCTCAACATGCCAGCCCCTGCTGAAGAATGGAAAGCTCCCAACGCGGCTCAGTGGCGTCGCCTCCACCGCTCCCGTCTCGGAGGGGACATGTCTTTTCAGGAAGCTTTGATGAAACTTTTTATCAAAGTACCACAAAATAGCGCTCCTAACTCCATATCGCCATTGGGAAATTATGTTTTAATCCATGCAATAATACAGCAGATTTTTTTCGCTCGACAGTTATGCCTCTCATCTCCCCTGATGCCTGGCACTAGTCTGCGGCCTGAAGACTTGTCAGTACTGGACTCTTCTCTAAGTGCATGGAAAGCGGGCTGGAGGCGGACTCCCGAATCTAGTATCGACCCTCAAAGTCCTGCTGGACCCATCGCCTTTACGTCGACTGCCCTTCTTGGTTTAGCCTACATTAGGCTGCACCTAGATCTTGGCCCTTGTCGCAAACTTGTAACTCAAGATCCATCACAGATCGCGCGGGCACTCAACGAGTCACCTCCTGTTGTACGGAGCCCGAGATTGACGATGGCATTACTCCACTCCGCCCACGCCCTTTCGATCCCAGTGCGCCTAGGGATAGACTTTGTTGCAAAGACTCACTCGTTTTTCTGGAGTATACAACACTCGATTTGCAGTCTCGAATGTGCTTTTCTTCTCAGCAGATGGTTGCTTGCAATCCCAGCCACCCAGACTGAACAAAGGCTATCTGACCACGAAAGAAAATTACTGTTGTGGGTAAAGAGTATGATGGAGGAGACGGATATGGTGTTCAATGTGGCTAACATTGGCGATATCGATTTTATAAATGACTCTCTCAAGGTGAAGCAGCTCAGTGTTGCTGTTGTTCGTGTATGGTCGAGGACATTCAAAGGAAATACCAGCTGGCCTATAGTGGACCTCATTGGATCAAGTTTGGAGATATACGCTGACTTTCTGGAGATGTAGCCTGTTTGCTACATATGCCTCTCTTTTACACATGTATCTGGACTGTTGTCGATTTGTATTTTGGGCGGTCGCGTGCGAACTTGGGATACATACACCCACTAAATTCCGGAAGTTCATGCTCTTGGATTTCTACAATAGTCCGATTAACCAATAACTATGAACCGGCCACCAGCCCCATGTCTTTCAAGCATTCTGTTGAGGGGCCGTTCTGGAATTGATTGGTTAACACATCCCCTATCTGTCAATTTGTTTGGACACAGCTACAAATACCACCAGCTTCCTCTAGATCTGGGGCTGCCGACATCACCCTTCAACGCCCGAGTTCCTGTCGATCTTTCTCTCAAATATCGCATCAGGTCGATGCGAGATAACAACTCAGCGTCTTTCTCCCATTATTTCATATCTTATACTCCACCCTTTTCAATTCTGCAAAACTTTCAGGCTAAAAGACCGAGGAAGTGTCAGAGCAAATGCCTCTGCCGTTGTCACCGGCACGCGGTTGAGCACTTTTATTTCATTTTCACAATATCGTCGCTCAAAAACCACTCGGGATACAATTCCTCATTCGTCTCCTCTACCATTTCAGCCCCTTCAGTGTATATGATTGCTAAATGCCTTTCCTACCCCCCTTGGTATTTATTTGCTTTTATTTAATACCCCAAATCCACGGCTTGAATGGCACATTGATGTAAGGAAATGTTTGCTTGCTATCCTTGAATAGAGAAATCATACATGTCAGAGAAATGAAACCCCTGTCAACTAAGAGCAGGAAAGGAAAACGTTAACACAATTTTATCCAGCAGGATGAGTTTCGATTTCGTGTTTTTTTTATTTTATATTTTATTTTAGCCTTTGTGCTAGGTTTTGTTGGGAATGGATGTTCATGTTTAAAAAAAAGGGAGCAAGCTAGGAAGATTAGGATGGCGAACAGGGAATTTTGGTGCTTTAACTACCCCATACATACATTGATGATGACTGGTCCCCGGCTGGTTGAATGACACAAAGAGTTTCGCTTCCCTTTTCCCTTCGGGACTTTGGTCAAGGAATGAAATTTCCTCATTTGGTTATTCCTCTAGTATTGAATAAATATATGACATGGCCTACGACATACCCTTCTGTTGCATACTTATATATTTGATCTGAGCTAGATATTATTCCAAGTTTTTGAATTTGGTACGTCTCTCTGGCTTCACCTACTAACGTACTTTTCGTATGAAAGGCGAGATGTGTTTGATTTTCCAGTGTTTATCTGAGCTATGCGCACCGCTGTACTCTAATCCTGTGGGATGATTAATCTCTTTCATTGGAAAAAGCTAGCTAAATTATATACACAGTGGAGAGTGGCCACTGGGCAACAGCGGGCTGCTAATCTTGTACATTTCGACAATTCTCTTTTTCCTTTTTTTTTTTTTTTTTTTTTTTTTTTTTTTAAATTATATTTCTTCTGTGGATCTGAGGTATTAGTATTTAATACATTATGATTTTAAAGGAAAATATGGTAACCAGAATGTCTACAATAATATATAAAGATGAACATTAGATGTATGCTTCATCTCACATCTGCATATAAATGAGAACATAATAATCAATGATCATTCTAATCATCAGTGAAGTGACATCAGTAACAAAACGTCTCAAATGAACATAAAATCAGGATATTATTACTATGCATGATTTTACTGCTCCTTCATCTCATTTAATCTCAAAATAACACTCATAGGGATGAACCTCAGAGCAGACATTGATTTCTCCAACTCTGCAACATCATGTCCCTTGTCGGTGTTGACACTGCTGTTTGGTTCCCGATTTCCTGTACTTGCTGCCGCCGCTTTTGCTGGCACAGATGTGCTTCTAGAACCTATTGCCGATTTCAGATGTATAGGTAGCTGGGCCGTTCTCAGGGAGCTGTCGAGGCTGGTGTTGGCATTGGAAAACTTATTGTTATTGAGAGTCGATGAGTGTTTATCGCTATCCATATTTTCACTGGGGGCTGATTGAGATGGTTTCCACCGTCTCAGACGGCTCTCATGTTGTGTTAAGTTTGGCACTGAGACTCGTCTGTGGTGAGTGGGTGCCGTGCCTCCTCTGAGCATTGAGTCATGTTTATCGATGCCAGTATTGACGATGGCAAAATTGTATACCTGGTGCAGGATATTTCTAAGGGTTAGTCGCATGGGGCTTACTTGAAGCAGGATGCATGTAAACCATGATCATCCATTTCTACTCTCTTCACCTTTTTTGTCTTTTCGGTGCGCATATTCTTCAGGAATTAATACGGGAAAGATACAAAAGTGGAGACTTACACGGGGGAATAGATGTTTGTCGATAAGATGCATTCTTCGTTTCTGAAATGTTGAGCATTTCCTATCGCAGCCCTCAACAAAACAGGTAAACTACACATGAGTTAGCATAAACTGTGGCTATTGTGGGTAACTTGTGTGGAAACCAAAATGAAAGAAGTAATACCGTCTTCTCTCCCTTCTCTCTCCGCGCTGCAATCAGTGGATCGTGGTGTTCCTCAATGTGCAGGGTAAGAAAATGGGCAGTGGGAAAATTTTTCCCACACGCTGAGCAGCGGTTAACATGAGCTTGAGCGTAATGGACCTCGTAATCCTCATAAGTCGAAAATGAAATAGCTTCTCTGTGAGGCGGTAAGGTGCAACGCATTACTCCGTGGTTCTCATTTTGGTCGTTCAGATGCACAAGTTTGCCTCGTGGAGAAGTTGACGATTGCATGGTGGGCGCGCCTGGTTGAGGGCTGCCAGGGGAATCTGCCGACTCCAATGCATAATGCTTGTCGCGTGAGCGTTTGGCCATTGCTTTTTCATATTATGTTTCGAAACTAAAGGAGAGGAGGGGGTTTTCTCTCCGTCTCTCTGGCAAAAGCTAGCAAGGACAGAAAACAAGGGAGGCCGTGCTTTATTGCGTGAATTGTTTATCCAAGTTCCATGTGCCTATGTAGATATCCCAACAAGGAGAAATCTACACGATATTAAGCAGAAGCCCAAGCGCATCGAGGCAACCAACTAGTTGCGCTCGATTTAAGGCGATAGAGAACTGATGAACATAGATGGATGTGTCGAGGCGGTGGAAGTGCAAAGTAAACAGATTATGCTAAGGCAAAACCTATCGATAGAATAGCTCATCCCAATCCGTAGTTCCATTAGCCAAGCAGCAGTGTATATGTATGTCTGCCTGAGAAATCGATTGTGATATTTCGCCGTATGAGCCACTAGTTTCAAGAATGACGCTGATGATGACTAAGCAAGAAGTTCGAACTTTGGCCCGCCTCCATTCTCATACACACAGTTTACACCTCGCTTTTGAGCCAAGGTGAAATCTGAAATTCAAGAGGAGCAACTAGGAAGCAGCTGAGTTGCCCATCATGCCGCTCGCAAAGTCGAAAAGTAATGTTGGGCTGGGGAACAGTTTGATGAACGATCGGTTTGGAAAAGGCAGAGGTGCTGATCGCAAGAAAGTTTCCTACAATTCTGGTGCCGTTCGACGAACCGGTCCTTCTGGCGAGGAGTACATCACCAACGCAGCAGAGGAGGCATCATGGGTTAGAATGCGAAGTATTACCGAGCAAGGTGCTCTGGATGAATTTCTGAGTACCGCGGAGCTTGCTGGCACGGATTTTACGGCGGAGAAACTCAACAATGTCAAAATCATACACACCGATCAGAAGAACCCATATCTGCTCTCTGCAGCTGATGAGAGGGCTGCGGTTAAGAAACACCAGCGGAACCGCGGCAGATTAACGGTACCCCGCCGCCCGCAATGGGACGAAACGACAACCCCACAACAGTTGGATAAGATGGAGCGCGAGAGTCTGCTCGACTGGAGGAGGGGGCTTGCTGAGTTGCAGGAACACCAGGATCTGTTGTTGACACCTTTTGAAAGAAATTTGGAAGTATGGAGACAGCTGTGGAGGGTTATCGAAAGATCTGATTTGGTCGTACAAATTGTTGATGCGAGGAATCCGTTACTTTTCAGATCTGAGGATCTAGAAAAATATGTAAAGGAGGTGGATCCGAGGAAGCGGAACCTGTTACTGGTCAATAAAGCAGATATGATGACAGATTTTCAGCGAGAAATATGGGCGGAGTACTTTGAAGAGCATGGTATCAACTACAAGTTTTTTTCTGCTGCACTGGCTAAGGAGAGCCTCGAGGCGATGGAATTGGCTAACAAGGACGAGGATAATGATGGTAATGCCTTAGAGGATGGGGAACTTGCCAGTGATACCAAAAAGATGAATATTCAAGTTGCGGAAGGATTTTCGAATGATGAAGGTTCAGAGGACGATGATGATGATGATGATGATGATGATGATGATGGCGTGTCACTCCCTAATACTCGGGATTCGCGTACTAAGATTCTTACGATTGACGAGCTTGAAGATCTTTTCCTTACAGCTGCACCGAACATAAAGCCAAAAGACGGAGACAAAGGAAAATCCAAACCAATTACAATTGGCCTTGTCGGATATCCCAATGTTGGTAAATCTAGCACAATAAATGCTCTTCTTGGCGCAAAGAAAGTATCAGTATCCGCCACGCCAGGGAAAACAAAACACTTCCAAACCCTCTATCTCTCGCCTAACCTCCTCCTGTGTGACTGCCCCGGCCTAGTTTTTCCCAACTTTGCAACGACAAAAGCGGAGCTTGTTGTGAACGGTGTTCTACCTATAGATCAGCTTCGCGAATTCCTAGGTCCAGCAGGAATCGTTGCTCAGCGGATTCCAAAAATTTTCCTAGAAGCTGTCTATGGTATGAAAATTAATATGCGTCCTCTTGAGGAGGGAGGCACTGGTGTCCCCACAGCGTCAGAAGTTCTTCGTGCATATGCGCGGGCTCGAGGATTTTCCACAACAGGTCTTGGCCAACCCGACGAATCCCGCGCTGCTAGATATATATTAAAAGATTACGTCAGTGGGAAACTACTGTTCTGTCACCCGCCACCTACCTCTGAATCTGACATTGAAGCTGGAAAGAACCCGATTGATCCAGCAGAGTTCAATCGAGAGTTATACGACATCGACCATCTCCCTCCTAAAAGACGAGAGGCCCTTCTCCACCACGGCGCATCATCAACGCTCTTATCTGAGCTTGACGGATCATCCCGCCATTTTGATGCCAACGCAGACACAAATAGCAACGTCTTGTCAGTCCAGTCTTCCGCTGCTTCCCATCCTGAGGGTTCCCGCTCGCGGAAGATCGACTCAGGGTTCTTCTCGGCAGTGGGTTCAAGTGGAGCGGAACACCTCAGAATGCCGTTTAATTACCAATACACGCAACAAGGAGCTACCCAGAGACAGAAAGAGCTTTCTGGCCGGAAAAAAAAGTTGATGGTAGCGTTGGAAAGTGGGGTTGATCCTTCAGAGGTTACGGGGGTTGGCAAGAAACATTTTAAGGGTGGGAAGAGAAAGGCAATAGAGCAAAAGAAGAAGGCCAAGGCTAAAGAAGGGGATGGTGATTTCTATTAGACGGTTGAGAATATCTGTATGGGCGGGATTTTAATTTCATGTCTTCGGTCCGGATACTATGGATGGGTCTGTTTTGCTGATTGATCTCTTGAATTGATGAGTGAATGAACACTAGAATCAAAAGAGGTAAATGCTAAATATTTATGATTGTATTTGCTGTTGCTTGGGGATGATTAGTTTTTGGTTAATCACAGAGTGTGAATGAATCATGTATGCTTTATCGAGCATTCATGCCCCATTTTGTTATGATGTTAACGATAATCACCAATTTCTTCATTTAGATTGAGGTTCAACTTCCTCCACTGGAAAGAAGCTGTGGCAAAGAATAGAAAATTTAGTTTGCTAGTTGCCTTCGGGTCCAGCATATCACTAACCATTCCATTTTCACCTCGGTCATTTACTGCCTCAGGTCTTTTAGCGACCCCTTTCTGTTCCTGATCCCCCTTCAGTTCCGATCCCCTTTCTGGCCCTGATCTGTCTTCTGGTCCTGATCTCCCTTTCACTCCCGATCCAATTTCCGGTCCATATTCCCGTTTATCTGGCCCTTTCCCTATTCGTCATGGGGACCTTTCACCATCTCGCTTTGAGTCGTTCCTTTATTATAAGATCAAGCATTGAGAGGCATAACTATCAAAGATATTTGGTGTTTTTGAACATGTATTAGAGACCTCGATGGTTATGGTAGGTAGAGAAACAATAAGCGCCCTGAGATCGTGGTTGCATTGTGAACGTGTGAAATGTAAGACTGTTTGACCAAGGGTTCGGATGGGCAGCGAGCATGGAGATGCTTATGGCTTGTCTATTGGACTGCCTATTCTAATGCAATGGGGGAATCTATATCAATAAATGCAGATAGCTCCCATGATTCGGAGAATGGAAGAGGCCGCAGTATATCTTACAAATGATATGGAACAAGAACTGAACGACAAGTATATCTCTTGCGCCTGCCGGCACGAATTCTATTACAACTGAGATGCAAGAACATAAGGTGAATCCCACTGTGGAAGGGCGAGTTTATCCGAGGGACATCGGATCAAAGCGTGAAGAAAGTTCTCTGAACGGGATAGTATTTCAAAGTGAATAGAAATTTGCATGATTGCAAATATTTGTGGCATCAGACTTCACCGGGATTTCGCCGAGTTAGCTGCTGGCATATTGAAGTGGCAATGGATAGTAGCACGCGGTGATCTGGATGGAGCCCTGGCACTGTTCCAAAGATGATTTGGCCCATGACAATAACTCGAACCCAGGGTAAGGCCAAGGGGAGCGCTGAGTCCCATAGAGACAGATAGCAAAACAGATATAAGCCGGAAGACCTGGCTTGATATTGGAAGAGATTCCTGCGACGATGTCTACATCAGGGATGCAATCCGAGTAAAGCATTGTGCTAAGAATGATTGCTCACTTGAGCAAAAGAATCCAGAGGCAGGACAAGACGAAAACCTTTAGTTGTACAAAATGACACGAAATGTAGGATAAACCGTAAAGCCATATCATGCTGAAGGTTTTTCGGTATGTTGTAAAAGCAACGTCGTAAATGCGAGACCGGAAAAGGGGGTTGCATCACATGACCTGAGTTGAATGAATCCATCGATTTCACTTGGAGGATAAATATAAGTTAACGAACCTTTTTTTTTTAATTTCTTCCTATCCTTACCCAGATCACGACAACGAGACACCCCACCCAGCTACACCCGCATGAATTCATCGTTCCCGGATATTTGCCACATATAGATACGGCAAGCATACAACATATCTCCTCCTGCCACCGGAGTTAGCCATTGGAGTAATCATGCCTTCCCGAAGGCAATGGATGTAAGCCGTCATTTCTGCCCTGGTTCAAGTAAAAGAGGTTTTGGCAGAGCATGGCATGGCTAACGCATAGTGCCTTTTGACATCGCTAGTGATAAAAAATCCGCCACCACCTATCAGCTCTTTCACAGGTCCCAAAATGACCCCTTAATTCACGATGCGGAAGCAGACGATAGAGTTCTCCATAGGGTGTCGGGTGCCCCCATAACAGAATCGCCCTCTATACCTCTAAAAACTACCAAAACAACAGCCAAGAATCTTGCGGAACTCGAGAAGGAATTTGGAGGTGCTAAGGTCCGCAAGAATGAAGGAGAGGCTGCTAATTATGGGATATACTATGACGATTCGCAATATGACTACATGCAACACCTGCGAGACTTAGGCAGGAGTGGAGATGGACAGTCGCGTTTCATTGAAGCAGTCCCGGTTAAGGGGAAAGGGAAGGCCAGGATTGTGAAGCTTGAGGATGCTTTACGCGAGACTTCATTGGATGATGGAGATGACCTTGGTTCAGTTTATGATGATATCCTGTCTACAGCATCGAATTACTCTCGGAAGCGGACATATCAAGATCAACAGAACGTCCCCGATTCGATTGCTGGTTTTCAACCCGATATGGATCCACGGCTGAGAGAAGTTCTAGAGGCTCTTGAAGATGATGCATTTGTGGATACGGATGACGCTGGGGATTTATTCGAATCCCTTGTGCAAGGTGGGCCGGATGCCGAAGTGGATCCCAGCGAATGGAGAGATACCTTTATTGAAGATGACGATGAAGGCTGGGAATCGGATGTAACGGAGAAAGCACCAGAGCAACAAAGCGTAAGCACCACCTATGCTGAATCACCTGCCAAAGGACCCATGGACGATGTGCAAATTCCAGACACAGTTGCCGGCGAGGGAGACTGGCTCCGCAACTTCGCGCAGTACAAGAAGGACATCAAATCGAAATCCTCCCCTCCTCTCATCCACGGGGATACTGGCTCCGTCTTACGAGCCGGAACCGTGGCATCCACAATGTTCACGGCGGGTGGGACCCCCGTCCGCAGAAAGAAGCGCAAAGGTGCACTCACAAACCCATCCGCATATTCCATGACCTCATCATCTCTTGCACGAACAGAGGGACATCGCCTGCTCGATGACAGGTTTGAAAGAATTGAGGCGCTCTACGCGCTAGATGAAGAGGGCGAGGACTACGATGGCGTCAGTATGGCGGATGATATGTCTGTGGTGAGCGGGATGTCCAAGGTTTCTGAAGTACCCAGTCTTGTTAGCGGTGGGACACCGCTCCGATCGGATTTCAATCAGATTATGGATGGCTTTCTGGAGGGTTGGGAGGATCGTGGTGTTCATGCCAAGAGGAAAGGGGCCAAGGGCAAGAGGGGAAAGAATGGGAATGAGGCTATTGGGATGAAAATGTTGGATGAGATCAGGCAGGGCCTTGGACCAGCAAAGTTGCCTGGGAGGGTGTAAGGAGCCTCCATTTTATTCAGTCTTTGGATACTGCGGCTCTACTCCAGATTATACTGATTGCATGTGTTGGTACTTATTTACTTGTCGGGTTTGAGGCGTTTTTTTGTGTTTGTTTTGTGCATTGGCTTGGGATAGACAAAAAGGGTTCACCCGAAGGTTGATGAAAGGAACGAGGATACGATCATGCCAAAAAGATTGTGATGATCCACCAAAACAAATTTTTATAATTTATACACATCTATTCCTTAAATTCTACAAAGGATATAGTAAAATGTGATCCTACTACATGTGATATAATATTCATATGCATGCCCAAAGGCTCCGTTCCAATCTGCAGGAACCTACAAAGCCCCCCCAAGTTTCTCCACAATCCACATAGCTAATCGTACATTCCAGCTCACCCTCCGCTCTTCTTTCCTCAAATCATCTCTGGACATAACACTGGCATCTTTCTGCAACCACTCCGTTTCCTCAGCTAACCTCTGTTTCAACGCCTCGTTGGACGTCACCACGATAGCACCAACTTCCAAATCAAGGCCATAACTTCTCTTCGTGAAGTTACTGCTCCCTACAAACGTAATGCTCGGCTGCTGTTCCCCGGGAAGGGTTATCCAAAGGCCCTTGGCATGGTAGCTCCATCCTCCCGATTCACCAACAGTTCCCCGCCGCCATTCCTTCCATTGGATGGAGTTTGTTCTCTGCGCTTCCGCAACACGGTCCAGGAATCTTGCAGATAGATGGGTGTATGCTGCCGGAAGCATACCTGAGACACCAGCTGAACCATAAAACCCGTTTGCCCAGGGTGAGGCGGTAAGGACCGTACCTTGGGGCTTGGAAACAGTAGCTTTTGATGGGGATGTGCTGGATATTAACAGTGAAGAAAGGACGGGATGGATGTTGAAGTACCCCGCTGTGAAGAGCCAGCTGGAGTTGGCTAGAGCAGGGGTGGTGGAAAGGAGGCTGAGGAGCTTTGTCACGGCGGGATACTCTGTGGATTCGTCGGGTTTTAATAATGGGCTAAACTGCGCTACCGGATATACTAATGTTGGTTTAGATGACGCTGGCAGCGGTAGAGCCTTGGATTTCAACGGCTTAACTAATGGCGCCAAAACTGTAGATGCATGTGAAATGAAGTTCTCTCGATCATCGAGGGGTGACGGAGCTCCATTTGAAGCTGGCCAGGACAAAGTATATCCTTCTTTATCCTTTGAGTCCGAAAGCATCTGAAAACTGAGGCTGCATACCCCATTGTGAATTCGGGAGTAATAGTCTGTGAGCGGTTTAGAGTTAAAAACATGATATCTATCTGCTCGGTTCGAAAAGTAGTCATTGGAGAGGTTTGCTCTGATAGAGACACGTTAGAAAAAATTGGCGTCCATATATATAAAATGGCACAGTGATCTCACACCCGGAAAGTATTATTTCATTATCAATGCCATACAACTTCATATGCTGCAGGCCCCATCCTTCATTTATTCTTCTTGGAATGATTCGCTTTCTCAATCCAGTGAGGTTGGGAGTGTGAAACATCCGTATCTCTACGCGATCTGGTCCATGCTCTGAAACTAGAGAAGCCAGAAGGGAGGCACAGGATTGACCCGGGGTCTCGCGAGTCCCTCTCAAAGCGTCTGTCAGGATCGACACTTGGAGTTCTGGGTTCTTCTGTAGAGCTCCATTGATAATGCCAATAAGTTCATATTCCGTTTTGCCAATATATAGTGTTGAGAGATATATTCTCCTTTTCGCATTTCGAATTTTATCCTAAAGTGAAGCACTCCGTTAACCCCATTTATGTCCGCATAACAAAGCTGACAATGGATCTAGCCTATGCACCTTGAGAGCTTCGTAGAACGCAGCTGGAGAGTCCAAAATGTTAATTTGAGAGGCCTGTATTTCAAATCGAGGTGCAATATTGTCCAGTTCAACTGTAATCACCCCAAGTGGTGATGCGGAGGAAGGATGGGCTGGTGCAGGGCTTGGATGCGATGTGAATTTGCGGATAGAACATCGTCGTGGAAGCATAGGCCTGCGACAAGTGTAGCTTGTGGCTTGTGGCCCAAGGCGCTTTATCATCATGAAGGAAATGAAGTAGTAATCCTGGTTAAATACATCGTTCAATTGAGTGGGAACATGAAGACCCACGTACTTCAATTATGATATTTATTCTGAGTTATCTTCAGATATTTTGCTGTTCTCCAACTCCCGAAACTCTTGTTACGGCGAACCCAGCGCTAAACCCCTTTCGGCCTCCCATCTCCACCAACTTCATCTCAGCCTTTCCCGGGGAATTATCTGGACTATTGTCAACAACTTATCTTCACTGCTTCTGCAAAGATGTCGACAATCCTCCGTACCGTTCGAAACCTGTGGCGGATTGGTTTCAAAGTTCGTTCCTCTTCGTTTTCCTGCTTGCAATTTGCGTCTACTGACCACAACCATCTCTCTAGGAATATGGCCACCAAATGCAGGTACGCTTCAAATCCGGATAACGATATAGGTTTTTGTGCCTTCTAGTTGCCAAAATCTGTTGGCATATTTGCTGACTTGCTCACACGTTTGCGTTGGTATAATAGTATATTGGTTTGTCTCCCTCCCCGCATAGGTCCTGCTGGGGTACATACAGAGCTGACAGGAACGAACTCTCAACAGGTGATACCAAAGCCGGCACATTGATAGCTACGGACCGATATGGAAACAAATACTATGAGAACATGGACGAGCTACCACGTAGGCAATACCAGCCATCCATCCGTTACCAAATATGAGCATCCTATTGACACCTTTCCCTTTCCACTATTAGTCCGAACGCGCTGGGTCGACTATAAAGAAAAAGAATTCGACGCATCCCAAATTGATGGTGGCTGGTATGCATTTTCCTATCAAGCTCCAGAACTCGACTTGGAAATTTCAATTCGATAACGCATTCTGGGCTATAAAGTCATTCTGACCCATGGGATATTTTCTTATTTCTAGGCACGCATGGCTGGCATACATGGTTGATAACCCCCCAACTCAAGATGTGCTCATGCAGACTGGCGTGCGACCGTGGGAGTTATCAGAGCATCGACCAAACATGACCCTTTCTCGCGCTGCTTATAGACCATATTCTACGTGAGTCGATCCCCTATTATGCGCGACGCATTTTATCTCCCGCTTTATATGAAATGGAAACCGGTCCCTATGGGCACCATGCTTACAATTTCTCTTTCTATATAGGGTGAGACCTAAATATTCTGCTTGGACTCCTGTAGCCGGGCCCCGATAGACATATGTCTAGATGCCGTGTGGTCTCTCCTGCAAACATTTTATCTGATCACTTGACTTTCAGAATTGGTATGTTTGTTTGTTGCAACCAGGACTTGTATATATACCTTTTTCTATAAGATTACAGAAGGAAGGAATTGATGTTTTATTCGTATCGAAAGAATATTTGAACAATATATATATGTATATATATTCTATAAAAAGGGGACCAGGACGGATTACTTGGGGATCTTGGGGATCTCGGCATCATACTTCGTACACAACGGAAACATAATTAAAATTAAGTCAATAATTTTAAGAAAAGCATAATTACCGACCAAGCAGATATCTGGCTCAGTCAAACACGAATCCCTCAAACGGGGTGTGGGTAAACAGTCCTGTGTCCACAGGAAACCAAAATATAGATTACGATGAAGAATAGCAAAAAAGGGTTGAAGCCAACTTAAGGGGTACAAATGTTGGGGGAATAAATTCTTCAACAAGAACATGGGAAGTCCCCTCATAGAACATATCCTCCAGACCCAATGTTCCACCAATGCCGTATTGGCCGTTTGTCCTCAAGTTCCACACACCACCAGAGGACTTCTTTAGCTTTATCAATCTGCCCGCTTTGTTCGAAGGCTCTTGACAAAGCAAACCACGCTTCGGAACTATCCCAAGCGCTTCCGAGTTTTGTCAATGTGGATAAAAGACCATAAGCTCTATCGCGAGCAGCGAGCCGATCTAAAGCTTCCGGTGTGATGTCATGTGGCGAAGAGGAATCGCTGGTGACATTGGTATCGTCGTTGTGCTGTGATTGGGGTTTCGTTTTGAGCTTCGAATGGGTTGATAAAAGAGAAACACCAGGTGTATTGCTGACGTCTAGACCTTTTTCAATCTTCTCTAATGGCAAGGTCTGGTCGTATATGTCAAGGAGAAGGTTGGCTAGTCCCACTGTCCCTACGAGATGATTTGGATAATACATTAAGGCATCTTCGAAATGATTGATCGCATCATAGGGTAGTGATTGTGCCTGTGCAAGATGGCCTCTTTCGGCATAGACGTCAGCCCAAAGCTCATCCGAGCTCTTCGTCCCTCCCCAGCCTGCAGCAGCGAACGCTCTCGCTGAAGACTCTTGCCCTGCGACGAGCGCTTCCACAAGTCTTGTTTGCTCAGACGCCTCGTTACAAGCTTCCATCGCGTCTTCGAAAAGTCCCGCATGTCGATAGAGCCCTGCGACGAACAACCAGATTTTGATCAATAAGCCTTTGGCGTGTATCTGTGTTTGAACCTTGGAAAACCGCGTGAGGGCGCGTGTGGGAGAGCCAAAGCGACAGCTTCTCGAAAGCAGACTGTAGTGGAATTTGTTTTGAGGGGGAACAGCGACTGTGGTCTCTTTGTTGTGCTTGTTGTGCTGGCCAAAATGTGATAACGAACGTTTTGGTGTGGATGAGGGTCCATCGAGTCGAGCTAATTGAAGTGGCATGTTGCGAGATGTTGGTGAGTCGTCCTCAACATGTTGTCGCTGGTGCTTCTTGACTGTAATCACATCAACAGGTGAGCGAGGTGATTTGTCTGAGCTGCGTGGGCGCGCCGTTTTCGTGCTACCGTTCCGTCGATGTAATTTATGCCGAGAAGAGTCACCTATAGCATCCGAAGGGGAACGTTCCGTTGAGACCCGTCGATCCTCATCTGTAACTTGAATTTTCGGTGCATCAGGATCCGCGGGAACTGCCGCAGGCGAAATTGATGGTACCTTTGGAGTGACGTTGCGTTCGCTCCCGGAATGGCCGTCTCGCTCGTGATGTCTGATACTCTTCTTTCTACCAAAAATACTACCCCGGAGGCTTCTAATTGTTCCCGTTGAACTCTTAGGAGGGACTAGATTGTCCGACTCGTTCGTTTCGCCCTCTTTACCGGCCTCAGGATTTGTAAACAAACGCCCATATAGACTGAGGAGTGCCTCAGCTTGATTTAGTGCGTACTCAGGTCCGTGCATGATTTCCAGAAGAGAAAGCTGAGTAATTCGTAATTCAACAATGCTTTCCTTCTCGCGAGCTTCCATCTGGTTAGATGTGCCTCTACCCCGCTCTATTCCAGCAACTGAAAGCCAATGGACTGATTTTTCGCCGGGCTCTTGAGATTGGCTCTGTGATGATTTTCCATTTTGTTCGTGGAGCAAATTGACACTTGGTACACTCTCGAAGGCAGCGTCACAAGCTTTGCTCGCGGCCTCGAAATCTTGTTTCGCACTCAATAGAAGCGCGAGCAAATGCCATAGTGGCACGAGATCTCGTTCTTTAGTGCTAACCCAGTGAGAATGTCTTTGTGAGTCTGCATCATCTTCGGATTGCTCCGCGACTAAGGTAGTTCGAATATAATCAATTGCACTATTTATGTCCCTTGTCTCTGCAAGTAGAAGGGCAAATGCGAAAGTTGACGCTAAACTGCCTTCGGGTGACTCAGAAGCTAACGACTTTTCGAAGGCTTCTAGAGCTTCGGCTTGAATGTCAGTTCGCACTTCGTTAACCGGGGTCCACCTCGCCCAATTTGCAAGCCCAATTCCGATTGCTCGATATGCTATCGAAACTGTGATGGGAGACAGTGGGCGGCTACCGCAAGTCCCTGTGGTTGAACCTGGAGAAACGCGCCCGTTGGCCGGAGTGGCTGTAGGAATTATACAATGGAGATTATCCAGTAACTTTTTTAGCATATTGGTCAACTCTTTTGCTTTTTCTGCTTCTTTATAGGACCCAAAACAAGACAGCATGCTAATTCCTTCAGAAAGAGTGTGAGCAAAGACCTCATCATCTTCCAGCTCACCCGCAGCTTCCACAGATTTTTCCGCTCGCGCTTTCGCACTGGTGGTTAGATTGATGTATGTTTCCAAAGCTTTGATTGCAAGGTTGAACTCTGCCAGAGCTGCGTGGACATGAAAAAGGCGGCGCAGAATTAGAGTCGAATGGAAGGTCTTGGTTGCTGCTCGATATAACATCTAAGGAAGGATAGGGTTAGCATAACATAAGAGCTCGACCTCAAAACAAAAACTTACATCAAGAACATTTCGTGAAAAGGCATCTTGCCCGCCTTCGCCAAAATCATCGTCCCGCCACTCCGGTCCACAGAGGATTTCCCAATTCTGCATGACTTGCTCAACCCAGTTTTCAACTTCCTTATTTGCTACCTCTGCCTTCGGGAACTTCGTATTTTTAATCAAAATATTTTCACAGATCGCCTCCACGCGGCGGAGTTCTGTCGTCAGTTGGGCCCGCTTCGGGCTTTCTGACGGAGAATCATATGCTACTTGTCGTAGCGTAGATGATAAAATTCCGTAGTATGCTTTCCATATCGAGGCTCGAGAGACTGAATTAGTTGACGCTGCACCAAGGGCAGTCGATGCCTGATCACCTTGCTTTACGTTAGGGTGGGATGCCCATAGCCGAAAAGCTCTCAGAGCAAACTCGACGGTATTTTCATTTGCCAGGGGTCCTTCAGCTGCGGCCTCACTCGCTATCAGTGCAGCTTTGGATAAGAGCTGTTCAGACCAGAATAGAAATTGCGGACTTGACGGAGAATTCGAATCGAGAGTAGAAACCCAAGGTAAAACCGACTTGAAGGTGCGTATCGCGTCCTCAGATCCCGAAACTGACGCCTGGGCGGCCCCTAAAATAAACTCCGTATCAGCAGAGGGGTGTAGACGTAAAGAAGAGGATACATACCCTTGATATATCCACCCTTTATAATGCAAATTTCTGTCCAGGACGATAGGGGTTGTCTATCACCGGAGAGAATTTGCAGCGTCACATCGAAGTCTTTGGGGAGACGAGAGGCAGCCAGTGCGGGTTCCGATAGTGTCCAATGCAGCCAACCCAAACATATCTGTGCTTGAAAAGAATCTTGCAAAGGATTCCCCACCTCTTCCAATACAGAAAGCAAGCCCGGTATGAGGTCATGGAGTTTTGTTTCCCTGGATCCTGAAATGGTGGTAGCGGTTCCAGGTCGGCTGTTCAGGAACTCTGCAACGTGGTATTCGGCACGCGCAGCTTGTACTAGACCTAGTAAAAGACGAGAGTGTCAGCAATTATTTCTACAATGATTGGGATTTCTGCGGAAAAACCATACATTTCCGCTCAGGGCAATGTTTTGAAATTTTGCGAACGAGGTTTGGGAGTTCATTCCAATTGCCGTTACATCTCGCCGCATCCAAGGCCTCAAGATAGCGCCGCCTCTTGTCGGCGATTTTAGCCTAGTTACCAGAGTCAGTTCTCATTACCTATATATCTCCACTAAAAGAGTGTAGGGGCCATGTATCGAAGCTTGGCCAGCTTGGCCAGAAGGGGACGTACAGTCATGGTTTTGTGAAGTTAAGCGGATGGATGTGTCACCGCATTCAGAAACATGGCTGGTTAAAAGGGAAGACAGACACTCAATCATAAAGCAAGCATGTGACATAGGTCACTGGAAGATTAGCTAAAAAAAGCTTTGAAATTCTCCCCCAAGAGGTGGTTATCGCACATGTTGTTGGAGTTCGCTTGGCGGCAAATAAATGAGCATTTTAGCGCCATTAGCCGCAGTAAACAAATCTTAGCCGCCGTCTTTGATCCTCCCCGCAAAAAGTTTCTTCGCATGAATATAAATTTTAACAAGCTTCACAGATGCCTCTTATGGCTTGCCAAGAAACGGCCCATCGAATATAGCCTCTGGACCTGAGGTTAATCATTCCTGATCTCTTAGGTCCTTGTGCTCTCCACAATGGCAAGTACCATTTGTCTCCGCGCCGCAACACATCGTCTGCTCACGACGCCCGTGAAGGAGCTCCCATTAATTGCAATTTACCTTGCGACTGCCTTTGCCGATTGTGGAAGCATTCTATCCACTCCTCAGACGCAGAAGAAACGCCCGGGAGAGTTTGACGCTTCATTGTTGGTGCAGAAAGTAAAGGCCCGTATCACAAGTCTACTACAGGATAAAACAGTTGAAGGACGATGGACGGCAGTCGTTCTTGTGAAGGCTATAATAGAA